TTTTTTTTTTTTTTTTTTTTTTTTTTTTTTTTTTTTTTTTTTGTTTTTTTTTTTTTTTTTGTGGTTGTGCAAAAATAAAAAAAAGAAAATAATAATAATAATAATAATAATAATAATAATAATAATAATAATAATAATAAAACTAATAAGAATGGTCTGTGCAATAGATTAAAAGAAACATAGAGATATATATAGAGAGATATATTAAAATAAGAGAAAGTGAAGTGGGAATATTAAAATAAGAGAAAGTGGAGTGGGGTGGATTAAATAAAAAAAAAAAAAAGAAAAGGGGCTCTTTATGCAGGTGTATGTCGGCTAGTGGAGAAAAAGAAAAGAAAAGAGAGGGTGTAAAGGGAGACATGTGGGTGATCAAAGAGAATAAAAAAAATAAAGGGTTTGAAAGTGGAAAATAAAGAAAAGAAAAGAAATGGGGAACATGTGGGGATGAAGGGATCGTTGACAGCGACGAGCTCAACATCGTCTCGTTGCAGAGCCAATCTGGCCACCAACCGGCCAAGCCTTCCAAAGCCATTGATGCCGATCGTGATCTGGCCCATGAGCTTAAGGGAGAAGAGGGAACAGACTGCAGAGAGAGAGTGAGCGATAAAGAGAGAGAGAGAGGTATTCGCAGAGTGGTTCCCGGCTGCGGAGCAATGTGTTGGCCATGGATACAAGTGAAGAACTGTGCAGGTGGAACAGCTGGCGTAGGCGACGGTGCGGGAGGCGGAGGAGATGGTGGTGGAGTGGCCGGTGCAGCGGACACCACAGGAGGTGGCGCCGCCGTGGGGTTGGATTTAAAGTAGGAGGAGCCGGAGTTGCAGTCGGAGATGTGGCCGAAGGTGAGAGAGGCTGCCATCCGTGAGGAGTGAAGGTATGTGTAAAAAAAATTCCAGCGGGCAGCGAAGGCAAGGTTGCCGGCCGGCTGCCCGCCGATGAGAAAAAAATACAAGCCTAAATCTTATAACTCTGATACCATGTTAAAATACAATGTATTATTGATTGATGTATTTAATTGATGTTTACAATGATCATATATATAGAAGAAAATGTGGTAGTAGGTGTAGGTGGTAGGTGGAGTGAAGTGGAGGTGGTAGGTGGAGTGGGTGGTAGTGGAGGTGGTAGGTGGAGTGGTGATTTATTATTTACAATTTACATTAGCACTTTTCATCTTCGGTGAAGATCAATCGATAAAGATCGTAGATCACAAAGCATTATTCGATAAAACATAGGGTTTTAGCTTTATCTTCTCCAACCCTCTATTCTATCTCTCTCTAAACTTTAACCCTTGAAATCAAAACTGTGTTATGTCTTGGATTTGTGTATGAAATAAACCAAAACCCTTGATTGAATCAGGTCGAAACCCTTGAAATCATTTGAAGAAGAAGATGAAACCCTTGAACTGAAACTCAGAGCATCCAAATCAGTTTTTTAAAGAAGATGAAACCGACTCTTCAGAATGTTGAAATCATTTGAACCAACCATCTTCAGATCCAGGTATTTTTTGTTTAAAACTTGCTTCAAATTTCTTGAGATTTGCTAGGTCCCTATATATTGCCAATTCTGCGAATAAACTTGGTTTTGAAAGTTGTAATTTGTCCTCTTTTTTTTTTTTTTTTTACTTTACCGTTTGGGCAGTGAAAGCTGCGCTTGAACGAAAAATCAACACTTTTAGAAGTTTGCTTCTCTGCAAAAGTACTGGGAGTTGTGTTTTTACGCTCGAGTAAACATTTCATTGCTCGAGCGTAGATCATTGTTCAGAAACATGCGTTTAAGTCACACCGCTTAAGCGGCCATTCATGTGCTCGAGCACTGATCGTGAATCTGACTGTTATAAATCTACAATCAAGTCAGTTTTTAGGGTACGACTTCCAGATCATCTTTTTGGGAATTAGGGTTTTCTTCTAGAGCATCTTTGCTAGTTTCTTTGATGTTTGTTTGAGTTTAACCCATGGTTTGATAAGTATACATTGAAGGATTGTTTGATTGTTTAACACAAGAGTGTTCTTTTTTGGTGGATTGCAAAGATTCAAGCGTGGAGTCTTTGAAGGAGTTCGAAGTTGCTCATGGTCATTGATTCAACATAGATGTTGTGGATTCGACGTCAAGCTGATCAATTTTGAGACAAATGCGTTGGTGAAAGAGACATGGATTGTTAAAGACAATTTTACAGAGTTTGGGTAAATTGTTTGGTAAATTTGTGTTCTTTCTTTCTTTATAGTGGATTGATTAGTGACGTTTCTCCTGTGCTTTTTTTTTAATCACAATTAGAGGAGCTCAAACTGTGATTTTTTCCACGTAAAAATCGTTTATGTCGATTTATTATTTGTGAAACAACAATCTAAATCACTTGTGTACGTGTTAGATGATTTAGATTGTTAGTTTTGGTTGTTTGGGAATTGTTGCAATTAAATCTATTACGAATCACGAATCACGTAGTTTTTCAAGATTTGTCAAGATCATTTGAAATTTGTTTGAAATTGCTTCATTGTTGTTGTTATTGTCTGATTTTGTTGAACAAATTTTGGTGAATTTTGTTAACAAAAAATAAAATAAATAAAAAGCCGAATTTTTATAAACAAATTGGTGAATTATGATTTTCTAAAAAATTGGTGAATTTTGATTTTTTTAAAAAAAAATTATTTGTTTTGGTGTTTCTTTTTTTTTGGGGGGGAAATGATGAGAAAGGGAGGAAAGTAAGGAAAGTAGTTGATTTTGGGTGAACTATAGATTTGGCAGCTACTATAGTATGCCACTGGAGAACTCAGTTTTGCCAAAGCCACCATATTTTGGCAATATCTGGTGTTTTAGCAATCCATTGAAGATGCTCTTAGAGCATGTTTGGTACAATGGAATGAAATGAAGTAGGAATAGAATGAGAGTAAGAATGGAATGCAAGATTGAATGGAATGGTGGTATGTCCATTCTCATTCCATTATTTGGTTGCAAACATGGGATGACATAAGAATATAATGATAATTTTCATTCTCATGTTTGGTTATATGTACTAAACTCATGGAATTGAATAAATTATTATTATTATTATTATTATTATTATTATTTAACAAGGTAGTAACAAATAAATTATAAATTTATATAGATCATGATAATATTGATAGTTTTGAAAGTGATGATGTGAGTCGTAGTAGTGGTAGTTGTCACGACCCAAACCCGGCCCTAAGGGTTTAGCACCGTAACCGGCCAGTAATCCGAGATTACCGAAGGCCTGCAGAACAGTAATACAGTAAAACAGAGTACAGGGCCTGGCGGAAGCCAATACAGTAATTAAACAATGTCCAATGAGCTGTGTCAGTCTGTATGCCAAAAAGATTTTTCATGCATTCATACATAAACAATACAGAACCGTATGTACAATATTTACATTCATTCAAACTAGGGACTCAACCCTACAAAACAGTACAGAAAACATTCCGTCTGTACAAAACAGTACGGCCTGTACAAAATTTACAATCACACAGTACAGGGACCTAATCCCTTGATAACAGTACGGTAAACAGTCAGTCTATGCAGAACAGTTAGACAGTATGGAGACAGGCGGGGGAAAACAAACAAAACACCCCAAAGCCATAGCATGGCAACTCGGAACCTCGCAGTGAGGCACAAAGGCTGGCTTGACAAAACTGGAGTAACCCTGACGCCTCTAGCTGCGGTCTGGTGCCTGAACACCTACATATATATATGAGCAGTGAGCTAAAGCCCAGTGGAATAACATAAAGCGTAAAGGGGTTAGATGAATGTCCTACAGTAATGAAAACAGTTTCAATTCAATCAGTATTTCAGTTGTTCAGTACAGTAAACGTCATATGTGGTCATCCATTAGCATAACAGTAACAGTAGGTCTTAAAAGACCGAACAGTAATGATGGCCATCAGTCAGTAAACAGTAGTGGTTCCACGAGGAACCGACAGAGATCTCTGTAACAGTAACAGTAACAGTAAACAGTAGGTACTAAGGATGCCACAGTACAGTTCAGAAATAAAGGACATACATTCATTCAGTGATACCAGTTCAGTTAAACAGTTCAGTTCAGTATTCAAAAGATATTCAGTTGAACATATCTTTACACAATTGTTACTCACAGAGTTTGGGCTACAGTAGCTAGAGCGTGTCTCCCCAGTCGCCAACCCTACACAGTTAACAGGTTGAAACACACACTAAGCTACACAGTTGGGAAATATCATAACTTAATCCCTAATTTGCCTTGGTGTGTCTACAACGATATCCTCATCTAAATGTCTTAAACTAGGCCTAAGAATGCCTAGGAGGGATGAGATGCAAAAATACACTTAGAAAACATTTTGCAAGTTGCTGAAATAGGAGCTCCGCTCGAGCGAACTTTCTACGCTCGAGCGTAAGTCCAAAATCAAAGGCTTCGCTCGAGCGAGGAATCCTTCGCTCGAGCGAGGCGGTCTGCAAACAGTAAAAGTACTGGATGCTAGATTTTACGCGCGATGGTCGCTCGACGGAGCCCTGGACAAAGGTGCTCGCTCGAGCGGGGAATCCTCGCTCGAGCGAGGAAGCCAAATCTGGAATTTCCAGATCTGCCTCCCAAGCTCAAACCAAGCATTCTACCACTCCAAACTCGACCTCTTGGGCCCAAATTCTGGAAAACATCATTAAATTCGATGTATAACAAGTTTCAAGCTCAATTTATGAATTCAAGCCCCAAAGTGAGTCAATTAAAACCACATTCAAACCCATTTTCAAGAATAAACATTCAAACATGTCATGTATGAGTTTTAAACCAAATTAAAGCTCCAAAGCTTGCTCAAATGAGCTCATTTCTTTTCAAAACCAGATGAAAACATGGTCTTAACAACAATATGAGCATGCATGTACTAATGTCCATGTAATCAACCTCAAAATGCAACAATACTAACATGCATGCAAGAGATGAGCTTCAATCCACCATTAATGAACCAAATCATGACTTAGCTCTACAAATTAACATGAATTGTGCAAGAATGGATTCTAAGACAACAACAAGAAGATGATGATGTCCTACCTTAGTCTTGTGTTCAAGGTCTAGGAGCTCAAAGTAGCAATCAACACTTCAATTCCAAGCAAGATCAAGCAAATCTCTCAAGAACAACTCAACTCTCTCTCACTCTCTAGCTTGGGTCGGTTGAGGCAAGAAGAGGAGAAGGAAATGTTTTGTTGAGTGTATTAGGAGATCAAAAAGGCTCAAGTAGTGGGCCACTCAGGTGGCAATTTGGTAAATGAATCAAACTATGCAATTGATCAATATTAATCTAATTTAATCATACCTAATCAATTTTCAGATAATTATACCATAAAATCACATTAATTATGACGCTCATAAAACATCAATCGGTTACTAATTCGGCCGCCGATATGGCCTTCAATTAGCAGTTTAAACATATGAACATGAACAGATAATCATACAGTCAAACAGATATAATGCAATTTAACTAACATATACTCAATCAATTCGGTTTCCAGTTTCAGTCAGTCAGTTCAGTACTTTTAATCAGTTCAATTATCAGTCAGTTATCAGTCATTATCCATTTCGTTTTACAGTAATCGGTGATTATCGGTAATCAATCAGTCATTAATCAGTAAACAGTATGAGGGTTGTTACAGTAGTGGTGGCGGCATCGGTGGTGGTCATAACAATGATAGTAGGATGGTGGTATTAAATAGTTGTAGCCTTAGTGGTGGTGGTGGCGGCCAATGGTAATAGTGGTGGTAGTAGTAGTGGCAACATCGGTAATACGGTGGTGGTAGTATAGTGGTGTAGTGGTTTTGGAAGCAATCGTGGTGGTGGTTGTGATGGCAATTGGGTGGCGATAGCAGTAGTAATGGCGGTGGCGGTGGCGATATGGTAATGGAATAGATAGTAGGAGGATGGAATGGTGGTTGTAGTTAAATAATAATATTTTTTTAAGTGCTAATAATGAAATTTTATGATAATTCCATAATGGAATGGAATGGCCATTCCTTAGGTTAGAGGAAAGAATAGGCATTTCCACATTTTGTTGGAATAGCCATTCTAATAAAATGACTATTCCCACTTAAATTACCAAATAAGAAAAAGAGAATGCCAAGTTATAATGGACATTTCATTCTAGCCTATTTCATCGTACCAAATGTGTTCTTAGTGATTTTTTAAGCTATAAAATATAACCATCAAGATATTAAGATTTTACATTCATCATTTCTCCTTTATCATATCAAATATATATGTATATATTACAAATTTTACAAATTATTAGCAGACTCCTTATTTTTATGTAACCTCCCTTGAAATGTAGAAAAAAATACAATAAGTTATATAGTTTTAACATAATTATATTGACGCTTTTTTAGTAATGCTAAATAGATCGAATTTAATCTAGATGGTACGCAAATACAAAAATAAATAACATAAAGTATACATTTATGTAAAAAAGATGACAATATTATTTTTTCATCCATATAATTAAAATGAAAATGTGGTTAGGTGTTAATTAATTAAAATTTCAACATAGCTCAATGTAATTATGTCAAAATTGTGAAACTTGCTATATTATATCTAAATCTCAAGGGAAGTTAATATAATTTACCTAATCATATACCTATGGATGATAAACAAATAGAACGAGCTAAACAGTTAACTATTTAAGTTTGGTTTGATTATTTTAATGAGTAGCAAAATTTGTTCAAGGTTGATTCATTAAAATTTTGAAACGATCTCAAACAAGCTTTTGTCGAGCTGAGCTCGAGTGGTTTGGAATTTTTATATAATTTTAGGCTTATTAAATGAGCCAAATGAGCAATTAATTGTTTAAACTTTCTTTGAAAACTTTAATGAGCTCCAAAATGTGTTTAAGCTTAGCTTGTTTACTTAACAAACTGAGCTCGAATTGAGTTTTTAACGAGCCGAACACGAGTCGTGCTCGAATTGTTGGTTCGTTTATTACCCCTACATATATGTAGTGCATTTACTATATTATTATAAGGGTCAAATAGATTTTGTCTAAGTCTTTGAAAGCTAACTACATCTAAAGCCTCTTTTGGCAATTCAAAATAGCCACCTCTTTTTCTATATTTTTTTTGTCTTTAGTGATTTTTTTTCAAAATTATGTCAAGTTTTTTTACTTTTTTGGTCTGTTTTGTTGAAACGAATCTAAAAAGTATATTTCAAAAAAAAAGTCAA